GGACATATTTATAGTATGTCTGAAAATAAGTACGGATGATTGCTGAACTTATTTCACTCAAGTCTGAATTTATTATTGTACAGGATGTCAGCGTGACATAATCTTTAAAGGATAAAGTCTTCCCCTTTACTTCTCATCTCCTCCACATACTTCAGGTTTGACCTAGTGCTTGGAAAGATCTGTTAGAGGATATAAAGGGTATGCATCTCTTTGAACTTATAAAGGGATATTTCTTTTGCTTATAAAATATGAAATTCTAATAATAATCATTGAATTTGGTACAGCATCATTCATATCTGGAGGATGTCTCAAAGTATTTCACAGGATTTTACTGTAACTGGAGAAACTCCCTTCTCTTTTCAAATAGTGCCACAGCATAGCTATAATGACAGGCTGGGTGGATTAGAGTTATATTTCTTAGAGCGGAGGAGGTTAGGAATAGTGTGATTGAGTCACTTAACATCCACCCAAATAGGCAGTCAGGACCTCAGTATAACACCTCATCCAAAGGACAGCACCTTCAACAATGCAGCACAGTAATTAAGTGAAAATAATTCCAACATTGAGCATAAAACTTCCTCTAGGCCTCAGCATGTAGCAAGTGCGATTGATAAAGTTGCTGAAAATGTATTAATTGGAAATGCCGCACAATAATCTAACTCACTGGCTAATGAGGGATCTTGCATGAATATTTATTTATCTTAAAATATAAAGAAACTGCAAAATTATAAATAAATAATAGGCTACCATTTGTTTTCTCTGCAACACAAAATGGAATTGATATGACTGAAACTTATTCTCAGTGAGTGTGTTTGTCTTCTAGCTGTAATAAAATATACTCAGATGAATGTAAAACTGCTCCATTTTTATTAGAGCATTGGTCAGACCTTATTTGGAGTGCTGTGTTCAGGTTTGGGTACCTAATCTTAGGAAGGATATAATAGTTTTGGAAAGAGGCCAGTGACAGTTTGCTAGATTAATATCCAGTCTGGAAGATTTTAACTATGATGAGAGGCTGGGTGGATTAGAGTTATATTTCTTAGAGCAGAGGAGGTTAGGAATAGTGTGATTGAGTTACTTAAAATAATAAAAGGTTCTATAGTGGATGACTCTTATCCCTGATCAAGACTAGAACAATTAGAGGTCAGGAAGCATTTTTTTTCTTTTTTTTTCATCCTCCCGACATGAAAAACACTATACAAATGTAATCTTGTTGTTGTTGTTTATATAGTGGGTTGCGAAGATGTGGAATGCTTTGTCCCATAAAGCCATAGAGGAGGAATTGATAGGAATACAAGTTTAAAGGAGAAATAAACAGATTTTTGGGTAACATCTGTTAAGGGATTAAGGGATAACATTCAATAGGATGAATGGCCTCCTCGTATTTCTATGTTCCTCTGTTTCTATGTTTTGACATTACATAATTGTTACCCTCCTGATATGGGAGTATAATGATGGACCAAGCATTATATCTTTGAATTGAAATACCACAAAGTCCATTCGTAAATGTGCAGGACTCTTCTATCATTGTGTATGTCTGTGTTAGTTTTACTATTCCTTTGGTTAACATTTTACAATTCCACAAGTTGTGCACCGATTGCTCAATTGAAAGGAAGATTTCTTTTTCAAATGGAATTGCTTACTCTAGAAACTAGGTATAAATGGAGAAAACATTTGAAAAGTTATTATGAAGTGAAAGCAACTAAGGAAGACTCAAACCAATTTAGTCCGCAAATGACCTCGCTTGAATTTCAATTATTTATACTTCAGTTTTACAGATCATAGAAAGAAAATAAACACATGTATTTTTTTCCCTATGTATGGTTTTGAAGAGTTTAAAATAACCCTTTACATTTATATAGCGCCCTTCATGTCATATAACATCTCAAAATACTTCACAGTGGTGCAGTCGATCGAGCAAGGAGAAAGAAGAGGTAGAGGGAGAAAATCATAAGTGTGGTCGAAGGTTTTAAAGTGGGGTTTAAAGACAGAGTGAGAGGGGCTGAGGAGGGGAGTTCCAGCGATTGGTAGCATCGTGAATGAAATGAGTAGATTCCCTATTAGGTATACAATATCAAAAGTTAGTCACAGCAACAGCAGAATGTTATACATGACAGTGTATTTCTTGACAAGGTTATTAACTGGTTACTGTTGGGGTAGAATTTAGAATTTTTATTAAGTGGTGTCTTGTATTTTATGTATTGTGCTGGTGGTATAAATTAGGTATGAGTGACATTGTGCTTGCTTTGTTAGACTTTGTGATCTTTTTAGTAGATTGGGACTAGAGTTTTGCACCATCTGTTGGCATTGTAAAGAGTGAGCACAGTTTAAAGACAGTATTGGTAAGATTCATATGAAGTCAAATCATATTGCATTTAAAAAGTTTCAATAATTCTGCACAATGTGAAATATTAAGAGAATGTTGACTTTAGGTCTCAAAGCATATTCATTCTTGTCAGATGTATTTGTAAAATCATATCTTTAACTAATACTGACTGATATATTCAGCAACAACCTCGATTATTAATACTAGTTTTGAATTTAAATTTATTTTAACACAATTTTATAATAAATAATAATAATAAATAATAATTGTATTCCTAGTTCCTATAACTGTTTCAACATTTTGTTGAGAGGAAGAGATTTGGTCAATTTGTTCTCAACCCACCACAATGCCCCTCTCTGGTCTCTCCATTACACTATAATGCTGTTTTTTAAAATGAGTTCAGCACCCTGGCTTCAATCACACTTCCTGGTAACCCTTTCCAGTTGTTAATTACTCACTGTGTAAAACAAATGCTTTCTGATGTCTAAGCTGAAATTGGCCTTTGTAAACCTGTACCAGCATACAGCATACATAAAGGTGAATAACATTTTAAATGGGATTGAAGAAGCATACCCAGATCAATATTTTAAGATGCACAAAGACAGTAGAACAAGAGGACATCCTTGTTGCTTTCTTTTGCACTGTGTCTAAGGCTAAGGTCCTGTTGTGTTGTGCCGACAAAAACCTTATGCAGTATTCCAGATGCAGCCTGATCAGAGCCTATACAAGTTGACTTGATAACTTGTTTTCCTATACTTGGAGGATAATTACCAACTCTTAACACGTTGCCAGAAATGATGATTGAGACCAGATCATTGGACTCATTTACTAAAACAGTTTGCTGCTGGATGGGAGAACAGTCAGGTCGGTATTCTGAAAGGATGGGATCAGCTGGGCAGGAGTCTTCTTCATCCAAATCAATCTTCTGCATGCCAGTAAATTCAGCTGTTATACCTCACTATAGGTCAGAATTTTATGGATCCAAACCACCACATTTTAATGAGGCTCTGCTGAATAGCCCAGCGTCTGTTTGCTTTGTTTATTGCTGCTTCACATTGTTTTGACATGGTGAGTGATGAGTCAACTAGAACCCTAGCTTCCCTCTTGGCAACTTCTTCATGTGTCAGAGGAATGAGCTATGAGCAATGATAAGACAAGCTAGGGCTCTTCAGTCAGGAAGGGAATTGTCTTAGAGAGGACTTCATTGAGGTATACAACATTTTAAATGGGATTGAAGAAGCAAACCCAGATCAATATTTTAAGATGCACAAAGACAGTAGAACAAGAGGACATAGTTTTAGGGCTGCAAAAAGAGCAATTTCAGGATCAACATTAGAAAATATTTCCTTACCCAGAGGGTCATAGACTGCAACAGGATGCTAGGGAGGGTGATTGAAGCCAGCATATTGGACTAATTTAAAAATTCATTTGAAGCTGTTACGAGACACGTCTTGTGGTAAAAATAAAATTTGGGTGAAAATCGCTTTNACTTTTTTTAATTGCTTTCACCGCAACAAATGTTATTGTTAAAAATCATTAAAAATGGCTCTTACCTATAATTTTACACAAATGCAGTCAGACTTTGTCTTTTGGTTCTTTGCCAGTCAGTTTTATGCTTGAACAAAGCCTATACAGTGAGTAACTGCACTGAGTTCATGCATGATCTACCAATTGTCTACAAGGAACCAGCATGACCGCATTGAGTTTCTTGAATTGATTTCTCACCGCATTTGTTAAATAAATATTATTGGAAAATTAAATTATAAAGAATTTGCACAAATATTTGTAATATATTTATTTATTGTTGCTCTTGTTAAATCAGTAGAATGATTTCAATGCATAGCACCATTGTTGTTACCTGAAGAATAACATAGCAGCACAGTGTTCTGGAAAACAGCCCAGGAATGGGATGAACAAACCTCTCCTTCACAAGTACTCTTCCTAAAGTTCAAATCTGCACTGTTTGTAAAAGAAGAGTTATTTAAATAATGGGCGAAAATGAAACTTGGATTTAATACACATTGATGTGTTTTGATAAATTTCCAGCAGTTTTTTTGTCTATGTTGTCAAAATAAAATAGTAATGCTTTATTTGATAAAACACCTTTCATGCCAGGAAGATATCTCAAGGCGTTTCACAAGGTTTTTTTTCCAGGAACTTTGAATTTCCTTTGTTTGAACACCTCACTCTCTGCCAATCAACCCATCTCTCCCTAAAAATTCTCTTAATCTATGGTCTCCCCAAACCAACCAATGCTTTCCTCTCCTGCTCTGAACTCGTCCTCATCTTGGAAATTTCAACCTTCACTTCACCCCTCCTTCTTAATAATAATAATAATCTTTGCATTTGATATAGTGCCTCATCACGTCATTAATGATCTCAAAGCACTTCATAGATTATATTGTAAAGTTGATTGACTGTGGTGTTTGTGGGTGAAAAAATACAGAATAACGACACTTAACTGCAATTAGTGTAAAGTACTTCGAGGGATTTTGAGATTCTAGGCACGATAACAAAAGCAAGTATCAATAGGAAAGTTGTGTTTCGTTAGTTTATCATCTGAACTGAGTAGTGTCTCATCTCTTGTCCTTTTTTATCCTCCGCTTAGGTTAATGCATTTATATTGCTGCATTTATTGGAAACCATTTACATCTGTTCACTTATAATTTTTCAGGACAGCATAAATATTTATGTGCTGGAAGGAATGACTGCATTATTGACAAAATTCGGAGGAAGAACTGTCCAGCCTGTCGTCTCAGGAAGTGCTATCAAGCTGGTATGGTGTTGGGAGGTAAGAGAAAAAAAGTGACAAAAAATTCATCAAAACAAGTAAATGTGATCAAGATTATGATAAATTGAAATGCATACATAAAGGGTTAATACTTCACCAGACAGTGAAAGAGACCCAACTGATACCAATAACTGATTGAATGATTTAGAAATGTCAATGATACTTTCTATGAGATGCACGGGTTATTTATACAGGTGGAAAACAGAAACAATATCACTTGTGTCTTATCACTTGATAGATTAATTTGACTGTGGCGCAGCCCTGTTATAACGTGCTTGGTTATAGTGCTGGCTCATTTGTACCGCGAATGGGATGCACATCCTATTCACTGTGCATGTACACTGTCATTGGCTCGCTTCCTGTACACATGAAGTGTCTAAGTGGCAACCTGATGACCTGGAAGTCTGGGATTCTCCTCAGTGGCACATAAAAAGCCAGCTGGTCGGCTGTGCACTTGCACAGTGAAAATGGCTATGTGGCCTTGTTATAAGGTGAGTTGGGATTTTATGGACCCCAACCATTGCCATGTAATGAGGCTCTCTGTATAATGCTCTCTAATGCATTCTGTCCTCTATTAACATCCTGATTTCTATATGTATTTTATGATGATCAATCTATTAATCAGAATAATGTGAGACATACTTTTTCTTTCACAATACGCAAATTGCAATTCTATACTCACCAGTAATAGCAATGTACAATTGACGAGACCAGACATTGCATACCAGTATTATGTTCTTACTTTGGTATTTTGATTGTCAACTAGGGAAAATATTAGACAAATGTATGAATAACAAGGAATCAAAACCGTGCTGTACCACTGACGAATCATCAAACTGAAATTCACATTTCAATAGTCAGGCAGTAAATAGATATACATATATAAACTGCTGATGATTATATAGACCAGGGTCAGATTCCCTATTTGAGAAAGGTCAGTGGGCCGCATAAGCAATGTTTTGTGTTTCCCTTCCAAAAACATAACATTTACACAACTTTTTCACGTTGGAAGGACATCTCAAAGTGCTCCACATTGTCGGCTGGGCATTTGAGCTGAGGGTGGGAGCCCATTGTAGTGGGATGGGAAGGGTACCCGAGGGAGCCTCTGATTGTCTGTTCTGACATTGAACCACAACACAGCTGCCCCCAATTCTCCTCTCTCTCTGTTCTTTCACTCTTTTTGTTTCTCTCGCTCCTGCCATCCCTCTCACACACTCTCCCCCTCTCTCAATTACTCTATCTCCCTCACACTCTCTCTCAATCACACTCTCTGCCCCCCTCTTCCCCCTCTCTCTCCCCCCCACTCTCTCTCCCCCTTCGCTCTGTAGGAGCTTCTTCACCAATGCACAGCTCACAAGTGCTGATGGCTGCCTTTAAACTTGTGCAGCCTTGGGGGAAATCAACGTTCAGATGTTCTATTTCAGGATGGTCCAGCATTTCGGCTGCTGAGGAACACATTCCCTATTTGAGAAAGGTCCGCGGGCCGCATCCAGCGTGGGCCAGCTGGTGGAGAGAGGGTTGGGAGAGAGGGGGGAGAGAGAGAAGAGAGAGGGTGGAGGGGAGAGAAAGATGGGGAAGGAGAAAGGGAAGGGGGGGGACACTCTCTCTCCAACCTCCTCTCTTCCCCCCTCCTCTCTCCCTCTTCACCTCTCTCCCTCCAACCTCCTCTCTCCCCCCTCCTCTCTCCCTCTTCACCTCTCTCCCTCCAACCTCCTCTCTCCCCCCTCCTCTCTCCCCACTTCTCCCTCTTCACCTCTCTCCCCCTCATCTCCCCCCTCTCTCTTCCCCTCTCTTCCCCCTCTCTCTCCCCCACCCCCCTCTCTCCTCTCTCTCTCTCTTCGCCCTTTCTTCCCCTTCTCTCCACCCCCCCTCTCTCTCCCCCCCTCCTCCCCCTCCACTTCTTCCCCCTGTCTCAATCCCTCTTTCTCCCAAGCGCAGGTCACTATCTGCAGTGGCAGGAGCCGGTGGTTGCTGAGGACATGGTTGGTAAGAGACTGGCTTGCCTTCCTGACTTCCTGACTCTTGGCTCTGCGCGCTACGTCCTCCCCACCACAGGCTCCTGCCGCTGCCCTGGGAGGATGTTCACCAGGTCGGGAGGGAAAGGAAGTTGGAATGATGGAAATGGTCGTCGGTTGCATAAAATCCCCCTTGTGCTGCCTGTTGGACCACGCTGTTCTATTTGATAACAGTGTGAGCTATGAGAATATGTATTTTGCTCAGCAAGTCTCAGAATGCAAACAAGTTGTGGCAGAAATATCCAAATGCCCCATTTATTTTGTTACTTACACAGCAGATATCAGCATGTTCGGGATGGGGGGGATTACCGTGTGTAAAAAATGGTTTGTCCCTGCATTAACTTTGACCACTTTGGACATTACTGCATTTTTCCCACCTTTGATGGGGATGAAGAATTGGCTCTGGCAGTGTGATACAGTAAATGAGTACATTGAAAGCTAAGATTTCTGTACGCAGTATCAAGCACTCCTTGAACATTCCCAATACAAACTCCCATTCTGCCAGCTGTGCTAGTAAGGTGTTTCCATTCTCTACAAACTGCCTTTGTGTTTCTCAAAAACTAAGTCTGTGAAACTGGAATTCCAGAGCACCTTGATGTTGTGCAATTTGGATTGAGAATGCCAGCACACACTGTACTTGGAAACCTGAACAGCTGAGAGAGCAGAGAGAGAATTTATCCTCTTTCTCAGGGATAAAGAGCTGAACTCAAACTTGGATTGCAAAAGATGAACACAATGTGCCTCAGACGTGCTGCACTATGTACCGTATGTTAATGTTTAACAGCGCTTTACTTTCTGAGCAGTTCATTTTGGACCAACAAAACACAACCATCTTTACCAAGACGAAGACTAGCAAAGCGTAGAGTAAACTCCCTGGGCAAAACAAAGTTATTTGCTTCACCAGGATTGGCTAGTGCTGGATCTAGGTTCAATCCGAACATGCTTATTTTATACAGTTTGTCTCGACAGTGAGGTCTAAATAAAATATTAAACTTGCATATAATAAGGTTCAAAGTGCCACTATTACAAAGTTGCTACTTTTCTCAGGGTTCCCATAGAGGAAGGGATGTTTGGGATTTTGTCCCTCTGTATTATTTCTCAGTTTTGTGTGTCGGAAAAGTTCTTGTAAAACTACTGTTCCAACTTTTATATAGAAAGTACATTGTGAAGTCCTGTGGCTTAGTGGTTAGAGCACTCGCCTCGAAAGCTTGAGGACCTGGATTCCCGAGCAGGGCGAAACATTAACAAGTTTCTTTGCTCCACACGTCTCTGTTTGCTTAGCAGTAAGTTTGTTAGTCGATTAACAGTTCGCTTTTCAAGGGGTAATAATCCCTTCAATAAAAATAAATAATAATAATAATAAATACTAATAATAGAATGTTAGAGAATATTGTTAAAAGATTGTCACTCAGGTTCCTTGAAGCTTTGACAGAGTTGATTGTACAGGTCCTTCCCTAATATAGGGCGAGACATTGGTCCTTACTCCACATGCCTTTTGTTTACCGAGGAGTAAGTAGGAACCCGGTTGTAGGTCGATTAGTGGATCGCTTTTCCAGGGGTAATAATTCCTTAAAAAAAATAATTTGGTCAATCAATCCATGACTGTTTGTGGGACACTGCTGTGCACAATTGGCTGTCTTTTTTCGCCCACAAAATACACAGTCAATTAACTGTACCGTATATTCTGAAGCGCTTAGAGACATCTCAAAGACACGATGAGGCACTATTTCAAATGCAAGCATTATTATTATTATTATTATTTTGATTTATTGCAAAATAAGTAGCATATCCTAGATCTATGTTGTAAGAAATGGGGTTTTAATTTGGCTCATCAAAAATGTTTTGCTTGTCGGAATATTTTTTTCTTCTCTCTCCTCTCCTGAATGTGTTTGATCCCTGCTTTATTTTTACTGGGAATTCTGTCTGGCTCAGTCAGTAGAACTCTAACTCTCTGGGTCAGTTTTATATAAACTTTATAAAATAGCATGTTCGCACTGCGCCTAGCCAATCTAACCTTGTTCTGCCCAGGGAGTTCTGTCTACTCTTTGCTAGCCTTTGTTTTGATAAAGATGGTTGTGATCTGTCGGTCCAGAAGATTATGGGTTCAAGCAACACATCAGCAACTTTGAGCTCACTAGACTGACCTCCAGTGCAGTTCTAGGGAATTGCCAAGATCCTATCATTTTATTTGTGTGAGCACTGAAGAATCCATCATACTGTTCAAAAAATAAAGGAGGTTTTTCCTAGTATCCTGACCAACAATCCTCCAAAATAGATTGTCTGTTAGTGGGGCATTCCTGTGTGCAATTGAATGTTGTACTACACCTAGAAATATACAGTCCCTACACTTGACACTTTACTATCTCACTTTGGTCTCTGCTAACGGCTTTTCCTCCAGCACCCGGACTGTCTCGTGCAGCGTCCTTCAGGGCTCTGTCCTTGGTCCCCTCCTCTTCACCCTCTATATGCTCCCCCTTGGTGACATCATCCGCAGACATGGGGTTAACTTCCACATGTATGCAGATGACACCCAACTCCACCTTTCCTCCTCTACCCTCAACTCCACGACCACCGATGTCCTGACAGCCTGCCTGTCCGACATCGAGTCCTGGACGAGAGACAACTTTCTCCAGCTCAACGTGCGCAAAACTGAGGCCCTCCTGATTGGCTCACGTCAGCGCCTCCGCACCTCAGACGCTGACAGCATCAGCATCCAAGGCTGCACTCTCCACCTCTCAAAGCCGGTCAGGAACCTCGGGGTTCTGTTTGACCCTGAGCTGTCCTTTCTTCCCCACATCTGCACCACAACTAGCACCGCCTTCCACCATCTCCGGAACATCGCCAGACTATGGCACTACCTCACACTTCACACTGCTGAAACTCTGGTCCACGCCTTTATCACCTCAAGGCTGGACTACGGGAACTCTCCCCTCGTCGGCCTTCCCGGCACCTCCCTCCACAAGCTGTAGGTCATTCAGAACTCTG